GTGAGCATCTCATTGATATTCAAGTATTGTTTTGTAGGGATTTCGTTGATTGGTTAGAGGATTTCATTATGAGCTGATGTTTGTTAGAGAACTATTGGAAGACCAACAGGGAGTACTATGCAGCAATTTCGTCATAGTTTGGTCAAACAGAAATTAAAGTACTACCTGATCCTTTCTATTCAGTCTTCAACAATGGATATCTCAGATGAATCGCAGAGATGCACGGTTGACGTAGCATGAAGAAGGCAGAATATATGGATATTGAGCAGCGATCAGTGTGCGTTAAATTTTGATCCAAAAGGGATTAATTTGAAGACAGATTTAGATGGTGAACAAAATGTACAGTATCAAGGAGGCATATAACCGCTGAACTGGTCCCCTTCGTGTGTAAAACAGCCTGATTAACTAGACAGTTCAAAATAAATCGAATTTCGATTGAATTTTCGAATTTCAGATGTATTTATGATAGTAAGTATGTGGAATTAATAGAAACGTCGTTTGCTATAAGGATTGTTGAACATGTACCAGAGACACCACATCTCTACTTGTATCTACATGTCAAATGAAAATCCATCTTTGACTCTAAATTTATGTACATAAAAGTGATGTACTAACAGCCCTTTCAACTTATTTGTTCATTTAAATTCATGAATCACTATTGTTGATTATCGACTTCATTTCTCAGGTGAAGTAATTGTCTGTGGTGAGTTATTTTATTTTGACTACTTACCTACTTTTTGTGAAACTAATTTTCTAACAGAATGCTTCTTAATTAAAGTAAAACCATGAATAAACTGCTCCGTAGACTGAACGCTGTGAAACTGTCAGATGGTTGGATGCAGACGGTAGGAAATCCTGGACGCCAGGGTCTTACTTGTTTTTGTTGTTGATGTCGCAAACATGACTGATAGAATTCAGTCTACACCAACGCCTGGTGAACAATCGTTGTATGTTAAACAGTCCTAAAAGAGGTCAATCATCAGCCCAACTTATACTCAGTGGCAATATCTCTGACTGCACCACTGAGTGATCCGGGTTCGAAAGCCAGGGTGGACATTACCCTTCCTTCAAAGTGACAAGTACGCCTTGCTTTCGAGTGCCATCAACCACGCAACCTAAGTCCAGCTAAGGCTACTTGCAGATTGCCTTCAGACATCTAACATCAATTTGATAGCCACCTGACTTGGTGTCGACGCTACACACTTATATGAGTGATAGGATTCACCAACACCGAGGAATAGAGGCATGACATCCATTAATCCTTGGTGACCACTCATCGGACTGTGTTTCTGAATTAATTCAGAATCACTGAGCATCTACCGCATAAATGTTTCCCATGTTTACGTCTTACACTTATTTATCAATCTCTACAACTAGATTACTTATCATCCTTTCTTTTTATCGATCAAATTTTAGCTCGCGACTACTCAATTGTATCATCTGAAAACGACATGCAGGTAACTTCACTCAAGTTTAAAAGGTTTTGTAATTATTTCATTGTAAATTATTGAATCCAATGAAGTCCTTGATGCTGTTCAAATTTGTTTGTTTTATGTCCTGCACTTTAAACACTTACTATAATGATAGCGAAATGTACGTGAATTCGAAAAAGGGAGCCTAGAAGACACGTAGATCACTTCAAATACCCAAACTTCATAATAGTAATGATATTGAAGCCAGGCTGTTCAGATTACGGAGCCAAGCTTGTTTAACACATATAAGCAGTCGGGCTTGAGTTCAAGTGACTCATGAATTCCCATCTATGTAAATTCTTTATACATAGCTCTACCGTCAACCAATTCTTACAGTTAGCGTTTACACGAAACTCTAAGTTCCAAGATTTTATCACTTTCAGGGTCGTAAGCACGCAGTGCTGAAGAGTCAAGCGGTAAGATGAAACATCTGTGTTCACTATTTCCTCGTTTTCAATGACTCTCTAAATGAAGTCAGTCCTAGACAAACTCCATATTGAAATTAATCAGTGTACTAGTAACATTTGCATACATTCCAAATTTTTATTTTATAGCATTCTTTTACGTTTTCAGTGAAACATCGAGCTTCAAGCTAGTGGCTTGAAGTTTCAGTAGCAGTATTGTTAGTTTTTACGGGTTGCAGTTGACAGCCTCATATCCAGCCTTCTCTCTGTAGCAGTAT